ATAGCCCTAGGTACGAACTTTTAGTTTTCTTTTACTATAGCATGTAGCATCACGGAGGTGCTCATATTACTACAATTTTTTTTGTATAAAACACGAATTCTGATTTCTTGTTTCCCGTTTCAGGAAGTCTTCATCATTTCATACCTTAACCGCACATAGAGGGTTAGCGTTTGCCTGCAGGAAGAAGAAGAGAATAAATTTTAGGCCGGTTAAGGATACACTGATCAGACCGAAAGCTGTCATTGGCAAGGGATATCAAAAGCGCTTATTAAATCCTCCTGCCAGTAAAGTTATAACATCATATATCTAACTAATAACATTAAAAATTGAGAAGTCAACAGAGACAACGACGCGCGCAAATCGCAGGCGCAGTCAAAGAGTTGGTAGCAGTCGGGGTGCCGTTGACGACGACGATCTGGTGGCCGATGGTGGCAACAGCGTCAATACATTGACAGACGCTCTACCTGCCAGCATCGAAGCTGCTGCTGACGACGCGACCATTGAGAAGCCAGATGAAGCAGCGTCCGGTAGCATTATGGCACCAGCGCTCAGCGAGCCCATTAGCCCCACAGAAAAGCTAACCAACTCGACTGCAAAAGTCACACCTTCGACTCGCACAAACAAAGATGCCAGTGACACTGGGTTGCTCACATCGTCAACGATAATCACTGGCTGCAATAACAATGAGCACAAGGAGAAAAGAGCTCGAAGTTGTTCCATATCTACTCCGATTCCATCGTCGTCAGCGTCAATTTCGCCGCGTTTAACAAGGTCGAAGGACGCTTATCAACGAGTATTTGAACAAGCTGTTACACCCACTGCTTCTGTTTCGCCACCACCAATAGAGAAAGAGGTGACAAACACTTCAACAGCACCAAAAAATTCTGTTAATAGTGTGGCCGACGGGGAAAACGATGGCAACAGCAAACATACGCCTGAGGACGGTAGACGCAATAATGAGTCAATAGGCCTGAGCGGAAATTTGCATAACAAAAACATCGATTGCGGTAATGACAAAAATTTGGTTGACACCATATTTTCCGATGAAGTGGCGTGTGAAACTCGACAAAAAGATGTCGAATCAAATTTCAACAATAACAATAATGCAAGTATAAGTTGTAAAAGTAAGTCAACGGAGCAGCTCTTGGCCGACTTGACGAACGATATCGAAGAGAGCATCACAACGAAAGTGTGCATACGTAAGCCAGTGCAGGACTTAACGAAAGAAGAAAACGTCTCAAATGCATCGCTGGAACCAAATGATCTAGCAATAATCAAAGGTGGTGACAGTGAAGCGAGAGAAACGAACGCTAGTACAGATTCCATTAAAGTGCAAGACGAGCTGCAGCGTATGGATTCAGGGCTTGACAGCGGAAGCGGGAAAAGTGAGAGTTTTATTGCAGCCACAAAAGCACCGGCACAAAAAGTAACAGCGGCAATTGAAAAGAAAAAGCTTAGTGATGAAGGGGCAATAAGAGCCAGCAGTAATTCCACGGTAGTTTCAACAAAAATTTCAACAGAAGAGTTGCAAGTCGAGACGGAAAAAGTGCAAGTGACTAATCAGAAACTAGAAAGTGTAACACGTTTGCAAATATTGTCAGTCGACGTTCTGCCCCCAATTAGTACCGACTCAACAATGACTGCCTCTGAAGTAGAAGATAATCTCGAAGGTAAGTGTTAATTATTGGGGTACCCAAAATAATCATCTTGGTTGGTATATTTTGTATTCTTTACTGCACTCGATGTTACGAAATAATCATTAATACTATACACCAATTGCGATCCCGTACGAGCTCGAACTTGCCAGGGTTTACTTGAAATCGATCCCGTTCTCGAGAAACTGATAACAGAGAAACTATCAGTTTATTTGCTGGTAAACTCGCGAAAACTCAACAAATCTGAAAAAATTTTCACCAAAATTTTCAACTTTTTAATCAAGATCTTTAGAAAAAATAATGGCCGTTTTCCCATCAAATTTTAGTAAAAAAATCTCATGTTCTATTAAACTTTTTTTGCTTGGCCAAAAGTCAGCTTGATTCTATCTGGTTGTGGAAAAACCCGCGTACATCCGGTGTTTAGAAGCTGCGGTGGTGTCAAATAATGCCACTATCCCTTTGAACGTTTCTTGGGCTTACCGTTACTTAAGCTTGTCGACTGTGTTTGATAGACTAGCCGATTTGGCAGGGCTTAATATGTGGTGAGGCTACATTACAGCCAGTTAACAATAAATCCGAAATGACGTATTAAATATGATAAAATATGCCTTCCACTTCGATGAATAATCGAAAAAAACTAGTGCAGACACCGATTGGAATGAGTGGAACGTGAGTTTTCAAGTGGTTTTCAGCGAAAAAATTTTTTCGTTTGACAGATTTTACATGGACGAAAACACAAGTTTTAGGTCGAAAACCAGTTTTACCAACGGAAACATGTTTTCGATGTCGGTCAGAACATGGTATAACATGCATGATTTAATTTCAAAGGCTACAAGTTTGCGGTATTATTGGAAAGTATACTTTTACGCTAAAAATTTTCGTTTTATTATATGGTATTTAGTAATAAAATCGCTGTGACTTATGCTTCCAAACTTATAGCTGATAAAAAATTACGCGCCTATGGGATGTGCCACGCCCCTTTAAATATACGTTACTATTAGCACCTACCAAAGACATATCTTCGTACCAAATTTTAAGTTCTGTTGGCTTATGGTTCTGAAGTTATAGCTGATTAAAAATTTCAGGCCAATGGGAGGTTCCACGGGCCCTTGCAAAATTGACTATATAGTTTCAAATAAAACTATACCTATAAACTTCCAAGGTTAAAAAGAAATAAGTGTACAAAATTTCATGCGTCTGTGTCGCGGTTCAAAAGTTATATATATAGATAGATATGTGTTATTGCAACTTAAAATGTTTATTGAAATTCACTTGCTAAATAATATTCACATTTTCGTTGTTGGTGTGTCCGAGAGGGTAGGAGTGTGATGTAATGTGGAACTATTTTCCGTCATCCCTTGTCAAATTTGGTTTGGATACAATGGAGAAGTTACACCGAAGATGGAACAACGCCGAAACTGGTTTGTCTCCAAACCAAATTTGACAAGGGATGGCGGAAAATCGTTCGGCATTTCATCTAAATAATATAAATATATGCATTCGTGTAAATTGTAAATGGATAAGCCCTTCTAGAAGGCATGCAAGGAAGCGCTTTGTTAGCCCTTCTTGGGTAGGCCTCTTGGAATGGCTTTACTTATCTTCTGAGTCATTACCATCACTATTTCAGTTTGTGTTAAGCAAAGAAGAACTAGAAAGCAAAGCTTTGTCCAACTACACTAGCAGTGTTGCCAACCAAACACACGGCGGATATTTAATTACATATGTACGTTCTTATATAAGCCCAATGGATAATTTTAGGAACCACCAGCCCTTTTAAAACGCCTTCCCCTTTGCATTCCTCTTTCTCCTTTCTTTTTTGTATAGAGTGGCACAAATTGAAGGCCTTTTGCTATCGGTACCCATAGAAGGGATTTGTAGATTGTTTTTCAGAAGGTCTTTGGAGGAATTCTTATAAATTTTAATTATTTGTTCCTTTTTCTATGATATTTATTTAATAAATTGAATATTTTTATATTTATAGAGCGCTTAAGCCAGCTTGATGGTACAGCGATTGCTTCTCCGAACTGTGAAGTATTGAATCCAATAACTGCTAGCGATGGGATGGTTACAATAGTAACAACGCCACCACGTACCCCTATAAAGCAGCAAACTCAACAGCAGCAAGTACAACAGCTGCAGCAGCAATTACAACAAACCCCACCAACACCTCTATCGCACCAAATACATCAACAACAACACTTACCGCAGCAACACACATTTACGCCACAGAGCAGCACCTCGTCAGCTAATACGTTGAACAGCACGAATTTGCCACCGGCATTCATGAAAGAGACTGGAGCTGGTGAGTTGGAGGATCAAGATATTGAGGAAGTGTTGAAAGTGCTTAAAGGTTTCGATGGCAGCGCTGGCGCTGATACGCTCTGCGACTTAAATGTGCTCTTTAACGAGGAGTATACCCTCAACTACGATGAGGTCAGTAGTCAGCCAGCATCTACATCGACTAAACCCAATCCGCTGAAGGATATGCAAATTGAAATCGAACGCAATCAACAAGCCATGCATCGTAGAATCGATTTTCTATTACGGCGTATGCGTAAACTTCAAGCTCGGTATATGAGCAAGCACTGCAGTGAAGAAATAGCCGGTTTATTTGAATGGACAGCTCGCATATCTGCTGGAAAAGGTGGCCCAATGAATAACACATCAGACCTTTTGCGCTCAGATACGGCCATTAGTGTCATTGCGGCACGTCCACCTGCCGACAATTGGGCTGAAGAAAAGAATCCCGTAGCATCAACGCAAATGTCATCGATGTTGCGGCGCTTGGAACATTCTTCAACTGCGCAACAACTGTGTATGGTGTCCGCGAATAGTAGTTTGAATGCCGCGAATACGCAATTGCCACGCAAAACAAAAAAGGCGCTTTTGCAAGAAATGCAAGCAGCTGCGTCGACATCTGCTGCGACAACAGCAATTGCATCGACGGCTGAACGCAAAGGCGAAGTTGTGGTACCCCACTATGACATTAATGTCAGCGAAGAGATGGCACAAGTCGCTGGTCTACTGCAAACTGAGATGCGTGAAGTGCAGACTGCGATGGACTCAGATGCAACGGAATCCAGTTCTGGTGGTGAATCTGCGGACGAAATGGTTACCTACAATAATCAGATACAACAACCATTGGCTATGTAAGTATTGATTTGTTAGTATGTGTCTAGAAGGCGTTTAGCGTAAAAACTTATAATATGTGTATATGTGTATTTTTTATTTCTTTTCATCTATAAAGCGCTAAACGTGCTGCATGGCGGTATTCACGTGACCGCGCTGCTATAGCTGCTCGCTGGTCATGGCTACTTTCTCAGATCGCGGATTTAGAAATTAAAATACGGCAGCATACAGAACTGCGACAGGAGGTTGTACGGACCAAAGGTGCGGTGGCGTCTGGCTTAGATGAGCAGTATGCAACTATTCATGCTGGCAATCTCAAATCAATTGAGGTAGCTACACTTAATACGACAACATCATCTGTTAATGGGTATAAAGGGAATATGTTGGGTAACACCGGTGTCAAATTTGACGCCATTGAAAGTGAAGAAGCAGGCTTGATAGGAGCGGCGCGTACTCGGGGCTTTGTACCATCGTTATTCCGGAAACGTAAATTATTACAAACGCAGAGTCTCCACACAATTTCAAAGAAGGCTGCTCGACCAAGGTATATCAGCTATTTATAGAATTATCATTAATTTTAACATTATCAAAAAAAAAACAATAGTTTCTGTTGAAATGATTTAATTTTTATCGTTTTGATAGTTATCAAAATAACTAATTCTATTTTGGTTTTTAACGAAAAGAAATCTGGCAATGGTTTACAACAACAGCCTTTCGTTGATTTATTTTGTTTCAATGTTACCGATTGATGATTTATTTCGTTTCAACATTAACGATTTAGTTTTGTTACATTAATTTAGCTTTGAAAGTTTGGAAATTATTTTGTAAAGCTAATTTTGCTCATTGCCGATTTCATAACAATTTTATTGAGTTTGATATCGTTTCGTTAGATGAGCATCCTTGATAGTACATATGTATGCACATATGTGTACATTATTTTGGAATTTGTGTGCATCTTACTTCATGCTGCTTTATTATTTTAGCAACATAAAATGTGGCTGCCAATGGCCTTTTAATCCCTGCGCGCTGTGTACAGGCCGAACAGATCCAACGGCGCCGCGAGATCCTCCAGATACAATGATGATGGCAGATAGAATAGCGCTACTGGATCCCGGTTATCATCCTGTTTTAAGCTTTCGTGAAGGTAAGTCATATGAATTGTAACGAAATATATTTTATAAGACATTACCCAAGAAGAAGACATGAATCGCTCGCACTATCCGCGATCTCCACTGAAAATGGAAATAGTTTTATTTGTTTTAGCTCGCGACTTGAATTAATATTAAGCTTAAGGATCTTAAAACGCCAGGTTTTCCCAATTCTGCTATATTTTTCAGCTTCTGTACTCCATCGATGAAAGTTGGAAGCAAGTGGTTGACAAAATGAATAATCAAGTTCAGTATAGAAACATGCATTTAAACATAAACAACCTAAATTATTGACAATAAGTTCAAAAAAATTTACTGCGCTGGCATTTTATGAACTTTAAACTTTTGTACTTTAAATCAGATTAACATATGTATATTTTTTTGCCTTAACTACAATTAACTGAATTGTACAGGAATCTTTTTGATCTTGTGTTACAGTTTACTTTCTTTAGCGGTTTACTGATTACCAATTTTCCATCTAGAGATTTTTCATATTTTGTAAAAATTAATTTTCTGATTTTGCTTTAAAAATTCAGGGCTTCTAAATCTTGTGATCTACACTTTGTGTTTTAAAATTATTATTATTTTTATTTTTTATTTTATCGAGCTTGATACTATGTTCGAGCTTGATACTATGTTCACGATGAGCCATTAACTAGAGTTTATGGGCCATTTTGGAGTTTAACGCTAAACTCTGCTTTTAAACTCGGAGTTTACCATACAAACAATTTTCGTTAAATTCACCATAAACACCACTTCTATTTGGAGTTTATGGGAATGCAACCCTTTTTTTTTGGACTGAATTTGGTTTGTGTCTTTGATAATCCAAACCTGCAACCAACTTGCCGACAGTTAGCCTGTTCCCGTACTGCAGGATTTGATCAGAAATTGTCCGAGGCCGCTCCGTGCACATAAGTCTACATAGAATATCAACAATCTAGCTATGCAAAACCAAAAAATGTGGTTCGATAGAACTTTTTGTGCTACCGCTACTTTATCTGGCGGAAGTAAAAAATAAAGAAGATATCAATGTTTAAAGATAAGTTTTTTGATTTTTTAAATATTAATACCTTCTGAACAACACAACCTATTAAAATACTAATGACGTCAAAATAAAGGTAATTAGGGGGTTTTCACTTGGTGTACATAATTTTCTCCTTTTTTTTAAATTTGTTAGCCAGAAATACCTAATAACCAAAAAATATATAAAAATATATATACATATTTTTTTAAATGGCGTTTATTTAAAATTTGTTTTAAAAAGGGGTTCCATTATATACGTCGCATAAAAGGTATTTAAATTAACTTTAAATTAGCCTCAATACTTTTGTGATCAGTCAAATAGTTTCCGAGATATTATAAATATAAACAAGTAATTTTTAAGCAAAAAACAACCGACTTCAATTCTCATATAAAAAAAAAAATATATATATATATATATATATATATATTTCATGATCCAATGATCGGACCTAAACCAGATTAGTATGGGACCACCTCTGAGACACTACCTTTCTGATGCAAAAAGAATTATCGGTTGACCAAATTATGCGGTAACGTACATAAAAAAATTAAAAAAATCCGACGTACTGATAACCTCCTCCTTTTTTGGAAGTCGGTTAAAAGATGAACTTTAACCTCTTTTATTGGCTTTGGTTTTTATTTGTGCCAAAAAATCTTGGTATGGTTGAAATCAGCATGAAAAGTTCTATCGAGCCGCATTTTTTTTGCTAAACAGTTGGTTTTCTACACCACGGCTAATGCGGACTATTTCTGTCTAAACCGTAGAGTACGAAAACAGGCTAACTGTGAATTAGAAAGAGTAAACAAACAAATGTCAAATTGTACTCTGGGTTTCAATAACACCCCAATGAGAACACTTGACAGTTGTTCATAAACTCTAAACGTTAAACTCGGGTTTATGGTTCAACATGAATATAGTATGAGGCCGTTTTATATGAAAAATTATTGTTGAAAAACTGTTTTTGTTTACTTGTTTTCTTTACCTCACGTCTCCATCTTCTACTAAATGAGTTTAACATCGTAAAATGCTAATACTAGAATTTTGGAAACTTGGAAATAAATTCCAGACACATTAGCTGTCTGCAGAAGCTGGCGTTTGATATATTGACAATATTTTCATCTACCTATGCATGTGAGTCCTTACCACTTACCTCGAAAGGTACAAAGAGATATTTAAGATACCTCCTTTTTGGCTATTGTTGTTTCCGACTGGGTCGGTGTATGATGTATTTTGGACCGATTTTCCGCCATCCCTTGTCAAATTTGGTTAGGAGACAAACCAGTTTCGGCGTTGTGCCATCTTCAGTGTAATTTTTTCAGAAAATTTATAACTAAAAAAATTTCAGAAATATAATTGTTTATAAGTTGTTTGTTTAAAAAAATATTTCAAAAATATAATTATTTATAAGTTGTTTGTTGTTTAAATTTGTTTAAAAAAATATGCATAATATTTTTATAGTGCAAATTCGGAATAAAAATAGCGCGATTATTATTCCAAATTTTCAGCAGTCTGGCAGCACCAAGTTTGATGTTATTTTGCTATTTAATTAAACCTTTAGTACCAGGTTGACCGAGCTTTGCTTGAAGTGCATATACTTTCTGAAGTTTTCAAGGTTTGGGTACCAATACTGGTCATTTGGATAGCTTTAAAAAAATATTTTAAAAGTAAATAAAAAAATGTTGGATTTCGATATCTATTAAGTAAGCAAATTTCTTACTTAAGAGTTTAGATGACAACCCTGTTTAGAAATACGCTGGAATGAATAGCATATATCGTTCAAAAACACCCTATCTCAAAAAACTTTTCAAGAACGCTCCACGAATACGATTCAAAAATGCCCTATCTCACTTAAAAATGTATTGAAAATGTATGTGCTGATATAGGGCGTTTTTGAATAGGCAGCAGAGATAGGGCGTTTTTGAAACGAATTCTGATCTTCCACTCAGCAGTCGATATACAAATGTTAAAACGACCAATTCTTTCCGACTGGCTTTTTGAATATAACTATTTTGTAAATAACTTTTATTTTTGGTCCCTGTTTTCTTTCAATTTATCTCAAGACCCAATTCACTACACCTGTTCTCATCAGTAAGGACATTGGACAGCTCCACTAGAATAGTGTCCTCAACCCTCCCAAAGTTCATGACAACAAAGGCATCCGCAAATTGGAATACTGACGCGTTCTCATTTTCAATATTATGAAGTTTTCTGGTAAACGGGTTAAAAAGCAATGGCCCTGGGCCAAGCCGTTGTTAACTTCAATTTTTTCATTGTCCATTATAAGCCACCTTTTCGAAAAAAAACTATGAACCCTGAAGTCTGAAATTTTTTAATGTCCTCCAATGATTTATTGATTTTCGGAATCGGGATTACCTTATATAAGTGATGTCTGCGTTTCTTTTAGTGACATTTTCGGTTTTTCAAATGTAATCCTGTCCACGACCCCTGCCGATCTTCTGGCTCCTCAATCCTGCTGTTCTTACTATAACCAAGGGAACTTCTATTGTCAGATATATCCTTAAATATTGATTTTATCCAAACCAGATACCTTCTATTGTCCTCTGTGAACCTACTAACCTTGACTACTTTCACGCCCTTGAGACTCTGAGTATAACTCCACGTACTCCTAGGGTTTGGGACATGACTGATAACCTCAACTTTCTTCTTATAGTCGTTGCCTTTGGCCACCTTCACTGGTGCTTTCCATTCCTTTTCCAACTTGTTTGGTCTATCAATATCCAGAATATTTCCAAATCTAGCTTTTTTTGCCGCCAAGCATCCAACGTTACATGTTCCCAAGCTCCTTTGCCCACTACCCTTTGGGAATAAATCCATCCCTTTTCATTAAGGTCCGTCTTCGCCGGTCTAATCTGATCTTTCGTGACAGATGTCAACTCACGCGGGTACCTTGATATCTTGACCTTGATGGAAACGATCCAAAAAGGGATTTATTGCGACGTTACGCAGTTAAAGTGAAATAACAGTTTTCTCGATTATCACCCTAAGAATTTATAATATTTCCTTCAATCCCTATTAATATATGTAATTGTCTTTTAATGAAAATCAAAGCCAAAAAATACTAAACAATGACAAAAGGAAACAGAGGGCTTGTTCGAGTTGCAATCACAGCCGCAGTGTTGAACGAATTATTAAATTATCACGTGCTGTGTGAATTTCTAGCAACGTATTATGAGTTGGGCAGTTGCAAGAATGTTGCAAATTTTCTTCAGTGCGGCTTTTATTACGTGCCTCGAACAGGCCCAGTGCGATGGGGTTGGGTCACCACATAAAATACACACTTTGTTTGAATACATCGGTATTTTGCTTTATTGGACAGTGTTATTTTCTTCCATACAAAAAGATGTCGAACATACTTTGTATGGAAGAAGCTCTGTGAAAAAAAATTGCAAACATTTTTCTAAAAAATCTTATTAGAAAGTTACACATTAGTGCGCAAATTTATTGAAAGTTTAGAGATATTATTTTTATGTTTTTTGTTGTAGTATGAACATGTTTCTATAAAAAATTTGGGGAATATTAGAATAAAAAACTTTGCGTATTTTGCGCAAAATTCTCTGTGCCAATACTTTTGTCCGGCACTGTATGCAAATTAAAAACGTTTAAGCCGTTTTTCTCAACTTTCGCTTTTTTTGTGTTATGCTACTATTGACTAGTAAATGAGCGATATGTAGATTCTGGTAGTTCATTATCCTTGAACTCTATTTTGATCGACATCGTTGGTCCAAACTAGTCCCTATCATTCGGAGCGTCTGGTGATTCTGTACACTGATACTACATTCACTGGCGATTAAATATTGGCTCCAATTTCCCCATATGTCTATACGCAGCTTCCTGGAATAAACTAATTCATTCCGCATTGTCATATTCTCGCTCATCAAACAATCATTTGCTAATTTGGCTTCGTAAAAAATGTAAATAAAGACCTATCAAGTCTTAACATTCTTGTCTCCCTCAATTCCAAATTTTTCAATTTTTGCCCCAAAAAAACCCGCTATTAATCGTGCCAATTAAAACGCGAAATTTGCCCTGTGATAACTCACTTGAATTTTCCGACACTCATGATTGAAACTTGCACATTATCAGACTAAAATTGATTGGGCTATAAAACTGTGTATTCAGGAAAATTCAAACACTTCTGAGAAAAAAGTTTGAAATTTAAGTGAAACTTTGTTGCACTTTTTTGAAGTTTTCTACAAATTGTTAAACTTGGGTTTATATGGGTTTTGTTAAAGAAAGAACTATATTTTAATTGAAAATTCTTAAAAATAAATAAATAAACATAAGTTGCACACAATATCACTTTGAAATTGCGTGCTATAGATATGACCGATACTGTATGCTTTCCAACAAAAGGTTAAAGTTAAAATCCTTTAACCACGTCTATTGCAATTACATTTCCGTAAAATATGTTTTCAAGCTATATTTGAAAGAAAAAAAATCAGTAAAATCCGCAGATTATAGCTGCTGGCCACTGTTTAAAAAGACGTAATTCGAACTATCCTCGGAAAACTGTATATTTTCCCAAAGTTTAGTTGCGATGCGGCTTTCTTTGAATTACTATAACATTGAGTTAAGTCCATTTAAATTCGAATTCCGAGATACGCGTTTTTTAATCACTATTCCGAGTTAATGCGTATTATGTGCATATGTACGTACATACACACATACATATTATCGTTTAAAGTGCAAAACCGCGTATCAACAAAATGCAAAACCGCGTATCAGCAAAATGCAAAACCGCGTATGTGGGGTTGCATAAATTATTTTCTAGAGAGTAAAAACAATATTTCAAAATGGCTCTCTTTTTTGTGAAGCAATCGCATTTCTGGCTAGTATATTTCAGGACGAATGGATAAGTATTGAGCCAAGAACTTTTGTGAACAAATCCAATTTTTTGGCAAGAAATGTCAGTTACGTGGTTTTGCAGAACGACAATACGCGGTTTTGTACTTTAAACGACGATATGTATTTATTACAATTTTATTATATAACTTCTGTTATGCTAAAAACAAATATTTTTACGACTTTTAATAGACGTCAACTGTACTTTGCACCTGGAAGCTATTGCTCGAATGCCAGAATGGCAGCAACGCATTATGCGTTGTCAAGTAAAGAGCATTGCGAAAAGCGTTTGGAAGGCTGAACGCGAAGCCGAACGTGCAGCTGGGCATAACACATCAAAGAAATACAATGAACCAGTCGTTAAACGCCGCTACACGAAGAAAAAGGATAGATTAGCCGCTGAAGAGAAGAACGCGGCGGCGGCAGCGGCAGCGGCAGCAACGTCGGCATCGGGTATGACAACAAATGCGTCAACATCAAGTGGAGGTGGTCCTACTGCAGATTTGTCATCAGGAACGGTAATTGGTGGTGGAAGTGGTGGAGTGTCGGCGGATACATCAGCGCATAGCGCAACATCAACGACATTGCCGGCGTGCGATGGTGGAAACGGTACTGGCACTTTGTCTACGTCTACTACAACAACGCCACTTGTGGCCAACAGTAAATTATTGTAAACATGAGAAATTCGATAATTGATATTAACATAAAACAAAAACAATTTTGCATCTCTTTTTTCTTTCCATTTTGTGTTGCAATATGAACTGATCTACTTCTTATTGAAACGACGCTACCCAACCGATTGCATATTAAAAAAAAAAAATCCCAATGTGATATGATGTACTATGCTTGCTGTTCGGATATATAAATGACTCGACATTCACATGCTCATGCTTGACGCAACGCGTATGCCGCCTGCCGCCAATTGCAAAAATTGCCGATTGGATTGATTTTTTTCGCTGGAATTAATGAATTAATTGCAAATACTTACATAATATTCTCACTGTTTGCTTTGCCAAACTTCATTTAATATTTTTTATTTACCTGAAATGACTGATTGATACAACATTACTAAAAACAAAAACGTGACACACATCTATTCGAAAATGAAAACACTTTTCGAAATAAAACAAAATATTTTATGAAACTGACTTTTGTTTTTTAATGCTGGCAACTGGATATAATTTTTCTACAAATTATATTTTTATACTGCTTTAAAACAATCTGACCGCTTATTGGCATATATGGCTTTGATGAAATAGTATCGGCAAAAAATTCAAAAAAGTTGCACCACTATCATCTAGTCGGCGACGGGGTGCTGTTAGAACCACCACGACCCTTGTCGCCGGTGCCTACGAATCACAGCAGTCACAGTCAAAGCAGCCATCACAGTCAGCAAAGTGGCAACAGCAACAGCAATTACATTCATCAGACCAGCGACAATCCCCCGCAAAACTACGATCAATACAGTCCCAGCCCAGCACATTCATCATTGATCTCCAACAACAGTAACGGTTTCAACGGCGGTGGGGGCGTTGGCGGCAGCAGTGGTATCGGTGGCAATCATAAACAGAATAACAAATATCGTAAAAGTTCAGCGTCAAGTGGAGCTGGGGGCAGCGTCAACAACAGCGGCAACAACAACAACACTTCCTTCTATTATCAAAATAATCATTTGTCTTCGCACTACGCCACTTACACCGGTGAGTCGAACGATGCGAATTGGGATGGTTTTGTGATTCGCAGTCGCACATCATCACCAACGCATGCGGGTGTTGGTGGAGGCAGTAACAATAACTATCACAAATATGAAAGGTGAGTATGTTTTAACCTTTTCATTAGATATTAATTTTGTCAGGATTGTCTGTAATCGAATATGCAATGATATTTTTTTTATTATTTTTTTTATTGTAGATCTAAAAATCGTACGTCATATGACATAGACAACATTGTTATACCGTATAGTGTTGCTGCATCGACACGAGTTGAAATTTTGCAATATAAGGAAATACCAACACCCAAGTAAGTGTTATAAATCTTAATTCATTTATGATCCAACGATCGGATCTAAACCAAATTAGTATGAGACCATGCTTGAGATATCACCTTTAAGCCCCCGATAAAAAAAGATTAGCGAAATCGGTTCACGTGGCCCAAAGTTTTACGGTAACATATGTACATAAAACAAGTATTCCGACGCATTGAAAACCTTCTCCTTTTTTTTAAAGTCGGTTAACCCTGAACGGGTAATCTTTGTCGATTTGACGAGCACTGTTGCTCTAGTTCCATTTTTCTCTCCATTGGACTGAAGAGCGAATTGCTCTAAAGTATGTAAAAAACTGTAATAAAAAGTAGCGTCTGTGTTTTCCTTCTTGTTAAAGTTCATGGTTATTAAAAGTTGTTTGGCAATCGTGCATGCAACATTTTTCATACAAGAGAAGCGAAGGCATCTGACATTCTAGGCAATCTTTTTGATTTACTTGTCCATTACTAAGTAAGGGAAGAATATCCCCTTATCCCAAATAGAAATAGAGTCTGGCGTCCAATAATATCAAGGAATCAGCCAACCTCATGCATAAAATTTTACCATACACAAAAGTCTTAAGAAAGGGTAATCTCAAAAGACAAAGGGAGGAGATAAATGCTTGCCAGACAGTGCAGGTAAGGAGAGAGACCAGTTAACCCGTTAAGTTATCAGAAGTAGCCATCGATACTAACAAAATTGTGAATAAACAAAATAATCTCAATCTATAACCACACACTTAGCCAATAACCTGGATGACAGACTGTTTTCATCACTAAATAAAATAAATAACGAATCCGACAGCACTTCAATTAATAACGCAAAAAATTATATAAAAATACGACATCTTAATATTTAAAGTTTAAAATGTTAAGGAAATAACTAGTACTGAACTTTGTGTAAATAAAAACGATATATGTACATAGATACAGCAATATTAAACTGTGGAACAAATTCAGGTTAGCAAAAGTTAGGTCGATTCTGAGAGTGAGGGGTGAAAATAGAGGCTAAATTAGAATACCCGTATCGCGGCGTTTGTTTATGTTAGTTCGAATTTTTTTTTTAAATCGACCTTGGAACTTTGCAGTCAAATGCCGATTTTCAGCATATTGTTTATATGGTTTTTTGGCTATAACTCGTCGACTAATTGATATTTTTTCAATCTGTTAAAGCCAAATTATTGCTAGAGACCTGTGCAGCAATTAAAAGAAGGGGAAGACAAAGATGAAATTCCAGAATATCTGTTGGACGAAATTATCGACCTTTCTGATGATGATGACGATGACCAAGATATTAGAGAGAGCAGTGATGTTGATCCACAACCGCCTGCTAAACGGCAACTGGCCAAATCATTAATTTAATTTATTTAATTTTTTTACTTAAAACTTTTCATAACTAACATTTCAAAATTATATTTTTTCCACATTTTTTATAGTTTCTTTTCAATGTTTCTTCAAAACCAACACTGAAAAAATTGGTACATAAGAAAGGAGAAGTAAATTAATATTAAGCAAGTTTTGTATTATGATTGTTTTCTTTTCAAATGAAATTTATTGAAGAAACTGAGAAGCATATTATAGATCAAACAGAAAGCAAAAAAGACTTAATTTTGTGGAAAATAAGTTCAAAAAGCATGAAAAAAAATTTCCAACATTTTGCTTCATAAGCACTACAAAAAATTTTCCAAATCAATTTTTATTTTAATTTTAATTGTTGTACAGGTCTCTAGCAATAATTTGGCTTTAACAGATTGAAAAAATATCAATTAGTCGACGAGTTATAGCCAAAAAACCATATAAACAATATGCTGAAAATCGGCATTTGACTGCAAAGTTCGAAGGTCGATTAAAAAAATTCGAACTAACATAAACAAACGCCGCGATACGGGTATTCTAATTTAGCCTCTATTTTCACCCCTCACTCTCAGAATCGACGTAACTTTTGCTAACCTGAATTTGTTCCACAGTGTTATTAGAGATTTGGCTTAACAGTAACATAGATACCTGTATGAATGGATAGAATCTGGCATTATCCAATAGATCAGATGGATTTGGAGAAGTGGGGATCTATTTGTCGAAAAATATTTAATTTTCAACATTCCAAATTAAGAGTGAAGTAGAAAATGCAGAGATTACAACATTCAATTTGAATAGAGCTGGGAGCACATAGTAACATATAATTAAATGAAAAGGTGGACACAGCAGCTAACAATGCGGCACAAAATGGTGACCGAATACAAACATTGTGGACGATAAAAGACGCAATGATGGAAACAAAGTCAAGAATAATCGAGATGAATGGCAGCAACAGAACACGGAAAAAAGTCAGTCAAAAGGGAAAGCATGTGGACATATGTTCCCGGAAATACAAAATAAGCCTTGAGTACACAAAAAATCAGATTTCATGCCTGTTGAAATAAACACAAGTAATTTTTAAGTAAAAAACAAAACCGACTTCAATTCTCATATAAAAATATATATATTTCATGATCCGATAATCGGATCTAAACCAGATTACCTCTGAGACACTACCTTTCCGATGCAAAAAGAATTATCGGTTGACGTGGTCCAAAGTTATGCGGTAACATAGATACAAAAAAAAAATATAAAAATATTCCGACGAACTAATAACCTCCTCCGTTTTTGGAAGTCGGTTAAAAAATAATCAGAGTAATGACAAATCACACATTTTGTAAAAATACTTTAGCAAAAATGAATATATATACAGATTCGAATTGTGAATCTTGCATCTAACAGAAGATACAAACATATAATATTTCACAGTATTAAATACATTTATACTAGAAACAAATATCCAGTAATCAGAAATTGCACATCACTAGAAGAATTTCATCGTAACACAAATGGGAAAGTATATGGAGCCATCCATAACTACTTTTTTAAGTGATATTAAAATGGATCTATAATTGCGATTTAGTTTCTGTAACTAATAATTGGAGATGGCGTTTTAAAGCATTATTGCTGGCCAAATAAGACTTCCAAACTTTTCGGTCGGTCGGTTAAAAAATACGCGACATGAAGGGTAAAAATCAGAACGATTTTTGACACTTTCGATACCAGGAGCAACAAAAAAAATACACGAAAATGTTGTTTTTGCTCTAATGTTATTACCTCTTTGATATGCCTTGTAACAAGTTTTCTATTTGAGTAATCCACTTGCAAAGTGCGCTATGTAAATTTTTTGATCGATTTTTAGTTTTTGGTGGATTACGTACCAAAATTTAAAGTAGTTTCATGCCCACTAACAACACAGTGCAAAATCTTTTTATATTCTGAAAAAATAGCATAAAATGTTAACTCTTCTTCCAAAAGTCGCTATCATACTTATTTATAAACTTTCAAAAATATCCATCTTCTGATGATCCTAGAAAACGGCTTTAGGTCGTATAGACTGTTAATGTTATCTTATGTCATGTTATGGTATGTTATAATTTTATAAGGCTCTTATTTATCCAAATTTTCAGGTAATAATAAAAAAGATTCAATTTGAATGTTACTCGTTGTCGTAGTCGTTTTTTTTTCAAATTTATGGATTTCTATTATAAAATCACATAACGCCGTTTGCAATACGCACAAAATTGTTTGTATAAATTTTTAAATTTCCAAAATTCTACTTTGTGTATTTCGAAAGCGCTTGCAAACGAATTAAAAAGCTCTACAAAAAATTCATGCATATAGAAAACTTGCTACATCATTTGTATGAGCGCCTGGTATTTGGAAATAAAAATATCGTTTCGTAAAAATAAACAAAAAATCCGGGTATCCGAATAATTGCACAAACGAATATTAACCGGATATCCATACCATGATAAAAACATTACAAAGTAAATTCATTTTCTCAATTCGTCGGCCAGATTTTTTTACCGTTTTCCAGCATTTTAAAGTTATATAAAATTGAGAATAAAAAAATGATATTGTTGTTTGAGATTGGAAATGGCAATGTGTGTGTGAGTCTGAGTTTTGAATTTTTTAATTATATTGCTGGCAAACGTCAAACTGCCTCTCAATGGTTTTACCTTTTTATGTTTTTATCATGATCCATACTATCCGGATTTTATCCGTGTAAGCGGATAATCCGCATGGATTTTCGAATATTCGAATAGCCGAATGGTTCCTGCCGCATTTTAAAATTATCAAAATAGGTATATATATATATACATGTATATATTAATGTAATAAGATAAGATAATGTAAGATAATATTATGTACTGCCCGATTCACTTGAATAGGTACACATATTTTCCTTAAGATCCAAGCTTATCACCTCTATGCTGTAATCCGAAAGTTCGTAGTTACGAATTCGTAGCTCCGTTCCGAAAATTCGAAAATTGGTATGCTGTAATCCGATCGTAACTATCAACGGCGTTGCCAACTAAAATAGTGAAATTCGAAGTTCTTAATCAGCTGCTTTGACAGAAACAAATCAAAATAAATAAAATCGCAAGTGAACAGTGAAATTAAAAAAAAATTTTTAATCGTATTTGAAAAAGCTTTTCCTTAATTAAGTAAAATAGAATGGATTCAGTGGCCGGTGCATTTTTGTCTCAGGAGGAAGAACATGCTGCAGTCAACTGTTGCATTAATATACAAAGGAGATTGCTACGAGACAGTTCTGATCCATTTAGCTTAAGTGATAAATATATGCTCCCTCTTTTTAAGGGCGTCCATTCAACTAAATATTGTGTTGCTTTAAATCTTGCAACGCTTTCCCAAAATTCCACCACATCCTCTTTAACTATTACAAAGCCTCGGGCAATGTCTGGCCTTTCGCTCATGCATTCCACCAGTTTTTCGTATTGCGAGCGATTTGTTCTGATTGTCGACTTGATAATTTTGTAAACATTTAATAATACATTGTTTTTTATTCACACTTCAACGTACATACATATTTTTGCGTTTCCACACTTTATTTTATTGATATTTTAAAAGAATTCGCTTTGCTCCGATACCAGTTGCTCTTCGTAGAAAATTTCCGACAA